TGTGTGTGTGTGTGTGTGTGTGTGTGTGTGTGTGTGTGTGTGTTGATGATGATGATGATGGTGATAGAAAGTGGACTATTTGGGAAAAGGAAAGAGACTAGCAGAAGTGTGGAGGAAGATAAGAGAGAATAAACGGGGATGAATATGAAATAAGGTCAAAGAACATGATGTATCTGAATGAAAATGAATGCCTTTACGAAATCCACTGTGTGCAATGAGTGTATGCCAATAAGAATATTCCACTACATCTGTCATATTCTATTTATTCATTTATTACTTCCTTTGTTTTTTTTTTTTTGTAATTTAACCTAGAAAATATCAGTCATCTGGTTGAGTATATTGAAGGAACAGAAGAGACGGGTAAAGCTAATCTAGCTTAGTGTTTCCTCAAACCCATTTCTTAGCAGTTCATGCTGGATAGTCTGACAGCCACGGCAGAGAGCAGAACTCCATATACAAGGGTGGGGTCAAGCCTCTATCAGGCTTGAGGGTGGAAAGCTACATTTTCCATGAAGGATGTTTTCTTGTGGGGACTGGAGAAATGACTCAGCAGTTAAGAGCAAGTTGCTGCTGAGCATGGTGCCAGCATCCAGCCTCTTTCTGGACTTCAAGGTCACCTGTACTCAGACATGCACACACACACACACACACACACACACACACACACACACACACAATTAAATAGTATATGTCAAATTAAATACACTAAATAGCTCTTAAATTTTTTTCTTGCCAGCTCTGCTACCCAATTAAGTAGTCATCTAAAACAGTGGTTTTCAACCTGTAGGTCATGACCTTTTGGCAAACCTCTATCTCCAAAAATATTTACATTATAATTCATAACAGTAGCAAAAAATAGTTATGAAGTAGCAGTGAAAATAATTTTATGGTTGGAGGTCACCACAACATGAGGATCTATATTGAAGGGTTGCAGCATTAGGAAGGTTGAAAACCACTCATGGAGAATAATTCATAACCTGTACATAGCATTAAGCCCTCAGTTGTCAAGCTAAAGCATGAGCTCCTACTAGGTCTCGAGGGGAAGCTGAACAGCAGAGGAACCAGACCACAGTGTTCTGACTCCGAAAGCACTGGGCCTGTGTACAGCAGAGGAGCACACGCACTTCCACCCTCAGCCTGCTGCTCTCCTCCAGTCTTCCATGGCTCCTTTTCATCACTTGTAAGTCTCACTTCCATGACTCACTGAACCTGAGTTCTCCTCCCCGCCCATCTGCCAGGTCCTCCCCTCAAGAAAGATACGCTTTTCAGTTGAAAGATTTATTTTATGCATAGATCTATCTTTCTTTCATGCCCTCACACAAGGACATCAAATCCCCTGGAGCTAGAGGGATAGATAGTTTTGAGCCACCCAACCTGAGTACTGGGAATTGAACCCAGGCCCTCTGCAAAGGTAGTAAGGCTCTTAACCTCTGAGCTTTCTCTCCAGCCTTCACCTTCATTCATCTTCATTTCGTAAGAATAGTCAATTTCACTGGAGTAAAGGAGTGTTATTACTAAGACTGGTCCTTCCCTTCGGCAACAGTTATCCTTAAATTTTGCCTTTCTTTCACTCATTTATCAAGCCTGTTATAAAATGATGCTCCATAGGCTGTACTATAGCAAGAGTCTAAGACAAACATAAATGTACTAAAAGGACATATATTGTGGCTTATTCAATGCACACTTGTTAAGTCTGTGTTACATTGACTATGCCTCAGTTTATGTATTGATCTCTAAAATGAAGATAATTTAGCACCCACCATCAGGAACTATCATGAGGATTAAATGAAAAAGGCAAAAGTTGAATGTTGGACACCATGCTTAACTTTTAAGCCCTCAGTAAACATGGCTGCACCTGTATCACACAGTCTGGGTAGCATCCTTCACTCAGGAGTATCCAATCCTCCTCCATCCTGATTTGTTATGGAGCTCCTGGATTTCAGACTCCAAGTCACATATACAGAAGATATCTCAGTTCTAGGCAAATATGGATGGCTGGTATATGTGTATATGAATATCCACAAAAACGATAATAATCACCATATTTTAACACTGTTGAGCAGTTCCTACAAATGAGAAGGTAGAAACTGATTGAAAACTATTATTTATAGATACTATTTATACTATAAATATAGATAATATTTATAGATATTATTTATAGATAGTAGTAAGTAAAATATTTTAATTGAACCGGGCCTATGTTTGCTATGGACTGTGGATGAAGTAAAAGGACTCTAATGTCTTCATAGCTTCTATGTGACTTAAGATGATATGCAGATTAGCATATGATTTATAAGTAGTGTTTTCAAGTGTTTCTTTTTGTTTGTGTACATGTCTCTGTATATGTATGTTATATGTATACCTGTATGCATGTCTTTGTATGTACATGATACATGTATGCAGGTACTTCTGAAGGCTAGAAGAGAATGTCAGATCCCCTAGAGTTGGAATTACAACAAGTTGTGAGAGACCCAATGTGGACAGTGGGACACAAACTCAGATCTTCTGGAAGAGAGAGAAGTGTTACCAACCACTGAGCCATTTGTCCAGCCCTAAGGGATAATACTTTTAAAATCAAAGAACATTATCAAAATGTTAATTTTTGAAATGAGTGACGGGAATCTAAGTGGACACAATGTGTCTTCTATGTGTCTATGCACTGTGTGGTGTGTGCCACTCTTGAAGTTATATCCAGGTATTTTAAAAGATGTTTGGATTTTCCTGTCAGCTTCTCCTTTCATTTTCTTGGAAATATCTTTATTTTTCTGAATAAAATATCCCCAAAGGAAAACATCACACTTACTTGATTCCGATGTTTTTACATAGTTCTTACCTACTTGGGATCTATGGATTTTGGAGGGTCTCAAGGTTGCTGTCTTCTGTACATGAAACTGGAGTAATTCTGTTGCTCATTGTCCTAAAGACCTCTGCTGCTATCACATCTTGCTCTGGCTGATTCCAGTAAGTCCTTATGCGACAGCAGCATGCATAACTTCACAAGTTGTCTTTTAGGAGTCCAGAATGTTTAAAATATAAAATTAACATATGCTACTTACAAAGTTAATCACTTAACAATTATAAGCAAACACATTTCTTCAAAACGTCTATCTTATGTCAAAACAATTGGTCAATTTTATGAAAAAATTAGCTAAATGAAATCATACAAATGAAACTGTCTATTAAAGCTACTACATTTCACTTAACTATATTTTTTCATTTTGTGATAACATATCCTGGATATATGAGCTTCAAGGACAAACAAATATTTAGCAGAATTTTAAAATCCACCCATTTATATTTTCATGCATGTATGTACACACTTCAACTACGTATATATACATGTATGTTCAGATATCATGGAATTATTTCAGAAAGAACATATATTTGTTCTTAAAGTTGTTATATTTAATATAAAAGGAAATAGTATTTTGCATCTATTGTTTTACTAACAATAAAAGGGAAGGATATATATTTCATCTATACTTGTTATATTTAATATACCTATGACTATATTTGAGAAATCTGGACCTAATTACCCATAAAGTAAGTGTTAAATACTAAAGACACATGTTCATTTTGTCTACAATATGCCATCTGTTGAAAGTTTCCTCCAGACCAGACATACATGCAATTTGAGGAGATCTGTTTTCTCGCTATAATGTTAGATGGAAGAGGATGCGTGCATTGAGAATACTACTTGATTCAACTTGGACTTTATTTAGTTTTACAAGGATCACAGAAAATGACCAGTGTTTGCTTCTCATTTACATTTCAGGTGCCCTGTCAGGGAGGCCTGTGACTAGGAGGCAGTGTACCCTACTTCCTGTCTACAGGAAGACAGAGGTTCAGTGCCGATGAGAATAAATGTTCTCTTTTAATTTTGAGAATCCCTTCAAAATATTAAGAACCTGACAGATGCTTCTGATGAGAAATCTTCAGTGTCTTGTAGTCTGCTGTTCAGATCCTTAGGTGTATGTGATGCAATACACTACCCACTGAAGTGGAAAATTAACCAGGTGCTTAACAAGGAGGCTTAGGAGATACACACTGACTGAGAGCCAATCTATGTGTTATTAGGGGAAACTATTTCTGAGAGTAAAACTCCTTCATCCATTACATAGGTTAAACGAAGTTAGGGTTGGAAGTGTTGGAGGAGGAAGAAGGAGACAAGAAGGATACAGAGGAAGAGGAGGAGGAGAACAAGGAGGATGAAAAGGAGGAGAAGGGTTGAAACAAACCCATAGTGTTCACTAACAGCCAAGGTTGACTTTAAGGCCAACAGGTATAATATGCAGCAATACTATTAAGCTTCATTTCCCCTCTCTATGCCGAGACTTGAGCCCCAAGCTTGGAAGCTTCTAGGAAAGCACTCTACCACTGAGCTACACCCCCAGACCTAGTTTTACTTCTGGAGGAAAATGTTTCCTAATTGGCTAGGTGATACATTGGGTGGGTAACGGCTTCCATGTTTCAAGAATAGAAGATTGAAAGGCAGTTTCTCAAACTCTTCATTTGTGCACTATTTAATAAATATGGTTGTTTATATTTACATCATAGCAAGGCATAGGCTTTCTCTAGAATATACTCCATTCTGTGCCTAGAATAGTTCACTTAACATATTACTTGGTCCTGAAAACACAGTTGGGCGGCAGGTGTGGCTCAGTAGTAGAGTGCTTGCCTACTATGTCCAAGGCACTGACATTAATGTTTCCCTGGTCCACCAAAAATAAAAATGTATCTACTGTATGCTCAGAAAATTAACAATTCTAAATGAATGTTCATATTTATTTTATTAAGAAAGTCACATGTTTACAACCTTGGTTTTGAGTATAAATTCTAAGAAATCTAGGCTACCACTAGGTACTCAGCATTCACAAAGCTTACGTGCAGCTTATCCCAAAAGAACCCTTAAAACACACTGCTAAACAGTTCTACTTATTTAATATATTTGTCTAGACTCACTTATGATAGAAATCAGGTTCACAATAGTACCAGGTAGTATGTGGTTCAAAATAATGGCCTCTGTCATTGTTCTAGTTGCTTACAAGCTAATTATTCAGTAACATGGATGAATACAGGTGAAGGAAAGGGATTCACTTGTTCCATTGATCTGGATACTGCAGCTAGTGTCTCAGATACTGAGAATAGAGTCCTTTCTAAATCAACCTTTTGAATTCAAAGAGAAAACTCACTTCACATTGCATTTCACGTAAAGTCTGTCAGGGCTATTAGGATCTAATTGGCTCTACTTAGTGCCCCCATCAACAGAATTATTCTACCTCAGGTGAATAACAACCTTCTGAAGATAAAGGAAATTCCGTGTTGAGAGAAAATAGCACAAGACTAAGTGATGGCTGAGTAAAACCTCATTTTTTTTTACATGCACATGTTTGTGTTCTTATCTCCAAACGAGGCTACCTGTCACAAATAAGACTGAACAAAATGTATTAAATGGGCATTTTAAGATTTTTGATGATTGGAACAAAGAAAAAACTAGTGAGGAACTCTGACTAGAACAAGTGCTAGATGTGGAAGGAGGGTGAGGGGCATCCCATGTTCAACTATCCACAGAGTCGAGGTCTCATTAAGCCCCCACAGTGTTGATTAGAGAAATTAGAAAAGCCATTCCTTAGGGAAAAAATTATTTCCAAAGAAGATTCTAAAGCATCTCTAACATAATTTCAAAAACAAGACTCAGAATCAAGATGACTCTCTTTCACTACCTTCCAGAATAGAACTCAACACTGTTAAAGAAGATAACAAAATCCAGACACTGAGCAACATTCAGATCTATAGCCCTCAGCCCCAAATCAGAAATGATTCCGCACATACAGACTGTAGCCAGAAGGAAAACCAGTCAATAGAAACAGACCCAGAAGTGACGATAGGAATGGAATTAAAAGACATGAGCATTAAAACAGCTACTGTCAAGACTATACTTTCAGGGATCATTTCTATAGTTCGTTACTAGAGAAGTTTCTCTGACTGTGTAGAGCACCCGAGACCACGAGGACGAGACGTAGTGTTCCCTCCTGAGCGTGAAGCCGGCTCTAGGTGCTGCTTCTGTGCAGCCGCCTCCTGCCATTGATGATCGTTCTTCTCTCCCTCTGGGGGAGTGAGAGGGAGGGAGCGCAGTCTGAGTGGACCTCGGCCACAAAAACAAAAAAACAAAAAAAAAAAAACAGCTACTGTCAATATGCTCAGTTGTCAAGAAAAACACAATGTATAATAACAAGTAGAGAAACAATGCAGACTGGAAGTATCATAAAAAAGAATAGGAAGGGATCAAAGACAAAGCCTAGACCTTCTGTCAAACCAGAAAGGGAATATATGAAATGGAAAAGTCACTGGATGAGGTTATCATCAGAAGAAAAGATAAATTAATTTGAATACACACACACACACACACACACACACACACACACACACACACACACATACACACACACACTAGAAACTATCCAAACTAACAAGTGAAGGCTGGGTGGGGGGAAGCCAAAATGTTAGGCTTCACTGGCCTCTGACAAGATTTAATTTTACTCTTAAATTGCAGCGCCAGGAAAAGAGATGTTTTCTCAAAGCAAAATCACCGAGAGTTCTCTAAATTTGAGAAAAATATCAATTCTGAGATCTTAGAAGCTTAATTAATCCCAAAGAGGATAATTCCAGGGAAATCTACTTTAGGACGCATCATCATTCAATAGCAAAGATCAGTAATAGTAAAAGTGTCTAAAAGGCCAGAGAAAATGACTACATCCTAAGAAAAACTAGTGACTTCATGTCCAATTGAAGTCAGAAGACAATAGACTGAGGGATCCTGAACAGCTCCAGAGATGGACATAACTGGGGTAGCCAAAGTAAGGAAGAAAAAAACAGACAGATGAACATACAGAAAAGCTTCAGTCAGGTGAACCCCAACAAGAAACCTCAGCACCGCAGAAATTCAGTGTGTTTATTAGAGGCCAGGTTATTGCATACAGTTGAACAAGAGGGTGGGGTTATTACATCAAGGAGGCAGGGTTTATGGTGTGCAGATGGATCAAGGAAACAGATTTAGTTAATCTCAGTAGGAGCAGGATCTATAGGGAAACAGTCTTAGGTCATGAATATACAGTGGGGAAAAGCTGTGGTGGGCATTTCCTGCACATACTGTCAACAGTCACGACTGTTCCTCTGAGAAAGACTTTACTGTTTACCTGTGAGCATCACCCTAAGGGGAAAGATTTCCCATTTTCTCCATGTGTCTGAGGCCTTGACATCCTCATGCCTGTGTCAAGAGCATTCACTCAGGATTTGACTTACTAGGGCTTCCTCCACTTCCTCAAATCGACAGATTTTAAATGACAGAAGGAGAAACAGCCAACAGAGTTCTATACGCAGTGTGAAATATTTCTTAAAAACAAAAAGCTAAGACTGTGTCACCAGCACACCTGCTCTACAGTAGAAGAAATGATAAGGGAAGCTTTCAAGCTGCAAAAAAAAGAAACACCAGATTTCAGATTCAAATTCAGATTTACACAAAGGAATGAAAATCTCTGAGAACAGTAACAACATGGGTAAATATAAGCCATGCTTTGTTCTTTAATTTCTTATAAAAACCATGCATTGTTAAAAGAAAAAAACAGTAACAATAAATTGGATTTTTTAAATAACAAGTAGAGAAGAAATGTGTGAAGATTAGGAGACAAAAGCATGATAAATATTTGTGTTCCTTGTGATGGGGTGGGCTGATTTTAATTCAAGGCAGCCTGTACTAAGGTAAAGTACCTGATAAGGCATAATGATGTGGAGAGCCAGGGCATTTGCTGTAAGATTGTGTCTTCTATATATGAAGGAAAGATGCACCATGAAAACTTAACAATATGGTTGACTCAACAAGATCTGCAGAAATGGCAGTTCCAGTTGGAATGCCAGCCTCGTGGAAGAAATCTCACAGGGCTCCACCCTAAATGAAGAGCTGCAAGGCAATTAATTAATGGCTGCCGAGAGAGAGAGAGAGAGAGAG